CTTTTTCTTTTGTATTCTCCTTTGTGTATCAGACACTGAATGTAATTCCAGGTACTGCAGGTTTGTACTCCCTTTCCACCTCTTATTACCCTCCCCTTATTTAGGTTCAGGGGAGAGAGCAAGCCCAGAAAGAAAACCACTCCAGGGTCTGCTGGATATTTCAGACAAGTTATTTTGTTCCACTTGTGACCAGACCTTCCACAACCACCAGGAACAGGTAATAGGCCAGGTGCAGAGCTAAACGGCAGAAGCAAAAGTATAGGGTGGGTGAGGAGAGGCAGACATATGGTTTGTCTTTCGTTAATAAAGGTCAGTGTTTTGACTGAGGCTGTTGGTATTACCTGGTCATACTTCCTGGAGTTCTGTCACTGGTCTTGGGTACCACAAAGGGCCAGGCTAGGGCATATTTCCACATTCAGCCTCTTTCTTTGCCTCCTACCAGAGAGAACATTATAAGCTTGACTGGCATCGGTTTAACCTAAAGCAACGTCTCAAGGACAAGCCTCTCCTGTCTGCCCTGGATTTTGAAAAGCAGAGCTCCACAGGTGATGGCTGGTAGGAGACCTGTGTTGAGTAGGACATGGGGCTGGAGGAAGGCCCTGGTTTAGGAGCTTGAGGAAAGGTCAAAGATAACACACCAAACTTGTGCACTTCATGTTGTTTTCAGGAGATCTTTCCAGCATCTCAGGATCAGAGGACTCAGACTCAGCCAGTGAGGAGGACTTGCAGAGACCGGATGAGGAGAGGGCTGAGTTTGAGAAGCCCAGCAGACCCCAAGGCTTCCACTCCCATCGGGTTCTTTTCCAAAATGCTCGGGGCCAGTTTCTTTATGCCTGTCGCTGTGTGCTGGGCCCTCACCAGGCAAGTGGTGGCCCAGGCTGTGTGGCCAACTGCAGCCTTTATATACTCAGCCTAGGTCTCCCCTAAGCCTGGGCCATTTCTTACTTCTTTTCTTCCTGTTGGATATGGGTATCACCACTGACAGCACAGTTTTGGATTGAATTGGCCTGAATCTGGGGTCCAGTATAATGGAATTAAGTTTGGAAACAGACCAATCTAGGTTTGAATTGTTCTACCACTTGATCTTGACTACCTCTACAAGCCTCAAATCTCCTTGTCTGTAAAGTGGAGACAAGCCTCAAGGATGGTTGTAAGAAATGAGATCACGCATGTAAGACACTTGGCACTGGGTTTCTTCCTGTGAGCGAGCGCCACGGGCATGCTTGTGCTGTCCCTCTGTCATCCAGGTGCCCCCAGAAGAACCTGAACTGCTGCTACGCAACCTGCAAAACGGAGGTCCCAGACACTCTGTGGTGCTCCTGGCTGCAGCTGGGCACTTTGCTGGAGCCATTTTCCAAGGGTGAGAGGGTGCTGCCTGGGGTATAAGGATGCGGTGGGTCTGGTTAGCCTGGGTGTACGGACTGGTTTCCAGCACCGAGTCTGTGTTGTCTACAGAAGAGACGTGGTGACCCACAAAACCTTTCACCGCTACACAGTGCGGGCCAAGCGGGGCACAGCCCAGGGAATTCGGGATGCCCGGGGTGGGGCTTCTCGTTCTGCCGGAGCCAACCTGAGGCGCTATAATGAAGCCACATTATACAAGGTGAGTTAGGTGTCTCAGATCCGGTGGTCTGCTAATCTACTTTTTTCCCTTTCATCAAATGTTACAGTGGGGAGCTTGATGCCTGCATCCTCCCAGTCTTCGTTATTTCTGGGAAGGCGAAGGTAGACTAGGGATGGATCCCCAAGAGTCTTCATCCTCTCGTTCTTTCTTCCTCTATATTATCTTCTGCTTCCCATTCCTTACACATCATCTGTGGGCCGACACATCATCTGTGGGCTGGTTTTTTGGTTAGAGATTTAAAAATAGCAAGTGAAGATACATGGGGCTGAGTTACTCTCTTCTCTAGGATGTTCGTGACCTGCTGGCAGGGCCAGTCTGGGCTAAAGCGCTGGGGGAGGCTGAGACAATACTGCTGCGTGCTCCCCGCTCTGGCCGGTCCCTGTTCTTCGGAGGCCATGGGGCGCCCCTGCAACGGGGGGATCCCCGACTTTGGGATATCCCCCTCGCTACCCGCAGACCCACCTTCCGAGAGCTACAGCGTGTGCTCCATAAGCTGACCACCTTGCATGTCCATGGTGAGCTTTTGGTCTGGATCCCCAGACTCCCTAGACCTTCTTGTCCCTTCCAGCCCAAGCCTTGGGTTCTCATTTGTACACCCAGACAACATCTTCATTGAGAGAGACCCGGGCTGGCTTCTGCTCTCAAAAGAGAAACACCTTTTGTTTTATGGCAGGAGAAGACCCCCGGGAGGCAGTCAGGTTGGACTCACCTCAGACACACTGGAAGATGAAAGGGGGGAAGAAGACTATCGAGGCAGAGAGAAAGGTCTCCAGTGATGAAAATGAGGCACTTGGGCAGAATGAGGAATCTCCCAAACAGGGTTTGAGCACCATCTGGCAACTGTCAACTCTCTCTGGGTGTCTGTCCTGGAAATGCAGTGTCAAATCTGCTGTTGCTTCTCTTTATAATGAGCCCTTACACAACACATACACCATTACACACACACACACACACACACACACACACACACACACACACACACACACA